GGTCAGGAGGAGGCGGAGGAGGAGAAGGGCATGTCCCCATCCGTTCTTTATTTACGATTTCACAAATGTCCAGAGGCATCTGAGATTGGGGTGGTGGTGCCATTTCAAGCACAGACCGAAACCTCAAAGGTAAAACTGAACTCACCGAACAGCTGAAACCCGCCCCTCTATCGAATACCCAAGAGCCTGTCCCACTCCTTCTTGTGCGTTGCTGAGTTGCACTTGCCCTGCGAGGCGGCGGCCAGCTTTGCCTGCTGGCTCTTCTTTTTCAGCTTTGCCAAGTTCGCTCCAGCTCGATTCTTCGATGATGCCGCCGCTCCTGTATCCTTTGATGCCTGCGCCACCCCTCTCTTCTTTGATGCCACCGCCGCTCCTGTCGTCTTTGATGCCACCGCCGCTCCTGTCTTCTTTGATGCCACCGCCGCTCCTGTCTTCTGCGATGCCGCCGCCGCTCCTGCCGTCTTTTTCTCCGCCGTTCCCACGGCGTCAGTCGCATCCTCCTCCTCCTCCTCGTCTTCCTCCTGGCTTTCATCTTCTCCGCTCTCGCTCTCCTCGCCCTCCGCGTCGGGCGGTGCAGCAGCATCACCGTCGCCATTATCATCCTCGGGCGGGTCGGCTGCACCTGGATCCTTCTCTTCTTCGCCGCCCTCCTCCGCCGCATCCTCCTCCTCACTCTCGTCACCGTCGTCCTCTTCGTCCTCCTCCTCCTCGAAGGCTACTTCCTCCTCTCCCTTGTCAGCCCCATCCTCGGGCAGCTCAGCCGTCTGCTCTGCAGCGTCCATCGCGGCCGAAGCGGCCTCTACAGCGGCATCCTCACCACCAGGCTCATCAGCAGCGGCACCTCCCGGGGCACCGACGGGCTCGGCCATCGCGGGCGCGGTGGCCTCGAAGCCGAGAGAGCGGAAGATGTCTTGGAGGCTGCAGTTGTTGTGCATCGCGGCGGCCCCGAAGATCTGGCCCAGCTGCTCAGGGCTGAGCGCCGCGGCCAGCGACTGGCCCTCTTGTGGCTGCGCTGGCGACTGCAGACTTGCAGTGCTCGCAGCACTGGCTGGAACGGGTGTCGAGGGAGCTGGTGCTGCCAGCGGCGTCGCTGAAGTCCTCGAACGTTTCTTCTTTCTCTTCAGTCCTGCCTTCGATTCAGATGGCGGCTGCGTCGGCGCTGCAGGGGGGCCCGCTGGAGACGACGGCGTGGCCTTGGACGGGGGCGTCATTGCTGGCGGCCGCGGCGACCCCGCGGGAGATGGCGGCAGCGGCGGCGGCGCCGCTGGCGCCGATGCCGCCTCGGCTTTCGGCGTGGGCGGCGGCTTGGGTAGCAGCTGAAGCAGTACTGGTGCCTTCACCGCTGTGGGTGCCGCCACCGCTGCGGGTGCCTTCACAGCTGCAGGTGTCGTCGCCGATGTTGCCTTCGGAGCCGACGGGAGCTTCGTCGATGGCCCTTTAGACTTCACCGTCCCTGGCCCTGGCAACGCTGGAGCCTTTGCCTTTCCGATTGCACTTGCCGCGGCGAAGGCTTTCATGATCGGGGCGCCTTTCACAGGCGGCCCCATCCTCGGGGCCTTCACGGGGGCCCTCTTCACCACTGAGGTCGCTGCAGAACTCGCTGCCGTCGAACTCGCCGCCGGCGATGCTGGAGCCTGAGAGAGTGCCAACAAACATCCCAAAAAAACCTCATTCTCCTCCTCATCCTCCTCATCCGCCTCCTCCTCCTCCTCCTTCGTATCATCATCATCCTCCGCTTCGTCATCATCATCCTCCTCCGCATCCTATCCCCCCCTCATCCGCCTCCTCAACGCCCATCGGGCCTCGACGGATTCACCGAACGTATGCGAACAATCCACTGGAGGCCATCTGAGAAATGCATCCCAGAATATCGGAGACTCGGGGGGAATACTCGTCCTCCTACTCCTCATCCGCCTAGTACTCCTCATCCGTTTCCTCATCCTCCCCACCCTGGAGGCTCACGGACGCCCCTGAGTGCCTCTGGAGGCCCACGGACGCTCATGCACATCTGAACTGGGAGGGGCGTGAGCAAAGTATAGCATGAGGCGGGGGAGTTCGGCAGATAGAACCGTCGGTGAGTGGTTCGTATCGGTGTTGTACTGGCCAAATGTCGTCGTTGGCATTCTCATCGTCGGCCGTCGATCGAGCTCGAGCTTTAGGGAATGCCCGACTGCAGCCATAGAAACCACAGACCCACATGGCTGAGTCGCACCCCCCGTCTTGTCATTCGAATGGGTGAGGGGCATCGCCGTAAATCGCATAGCGGTCGTTGCGCCACATAGCGTGGCAAGGATGACACGAAAGCCTGGCATGTACATGGAAGAACTGCTATAGCAACTCAACTAGATGTAAGTCTTGGGCCACAATTCGCAAAGAGATAGCAAGCATACGAGAGATGAACAAGAGAGAACCTCGCCACCTTCCGTCTTCACTTTCTTGTCCCCCGTGAGAAGCCCAGGCTGGCCCGAAGACGGCGTCCCAGTAGGCTTGCGTTTGACTGGCATCGCGATTAATGCCTCGGGATAGGGGGTCGTCGTGTCGGGCACAGCGCTCCGAGCCACGAAAGTTGCGCGGGGAAAGGGAGGACGCGTCGAGGAGGAGAAGGACGCAGGATGACACACTGACTCATGAGAGGACGCGGCGACGAGGAGCTTACAGTCTTGGCATATTCTCTCACGGGGGTAGCGGGGGCGTTCTTAGGCTTTGAGACGTTTGATCATAGCACATGTCGCCCTAGACAGACCAGCAATCACACATCACGGCCTGGGGGGGTTCATGTGTCCCTGTGTCTGACGCACATGGACGCAATCGTTCGCACATCCTTCGCAAGCTTTTCGCACATTGCGGCGGTCGGCCAAACATTCGCAACACTTGTCCAACCCACGCGAAAGCTTACCACTTCGCAACTTCGCAACTCTTTAACTTCGCAACTTCGCAACGTCGCAGCTACTTAACTTCGCAACTTCGCAACTTCGCAACTCATGGGCTTCGCAAGTTCGCAACGCCATGAGCTAAAGCTGTCAACGTTCGCAACTTCGCAACTTCGCAACTCGTTACGTTCGCAACTTCGCAACTTCGCAATGCATGAGCTTCGCAACATCGCAAGATCACAAGACAACGCTGTATAACATTCGCAACTTCGCAACTTCGCAACTTCGCAGCTCACTAACTTCGCAAATTCGCAACTTCGCAATTTCACAACTCGTTAACGTTACAACTTCGCAATTTCGTAACGCATTCACTTCGCAACGTCGCAACTTCGCAACTTCGCAACTCGATACGTTCGCAACTTCGCAACTTTGAGAGCACAGTCGCAACTTCGCAACATCGCATCTTCGCAACTCCCGCCGCATCCTCCTCCTCTTCCGCCTCCTCTTCCTCCTCCTCCTCCTCTTCCTCCTCCTCCTCCTCATCCTCATCTATATCCTCTATCCCCCCCTTCCCAGACTCTCTCCTCCTCCTCCTCTCCTCCTCCTCCTCCTTCTCCTCCTCCTCCTCCTCCTCCTCCTCCTCCTCCTCCTCATCCTTCTCATCTCTATCCCTGCACTGTTCACGCGCCGCTCGCGACTCGCGCGAGCCAGCGCACAAGACGCCACGACTGACGCGAACTCGCATGCATTGACTGCGCGGATGCCGCGACCCCCTCCCGCAGCAGCGCAGCAGAGAACAGGAGGCGTAGGGCAGAGGGAGGGAGAGAGAGGGACAGAGAGAGGGGCGATGGGGGAGAGAAGAAAGAGACGAGAGGTCGGGGGGAGAGAGAGGGCGTGGGAGATGGAGGGGGGAGGGGTGGAGGGGGAGAGAGAGGTATCAGGTCAAGTAAAAAGAGAGAGGGAGGTAGATGGAGAAGGGAAGAGGAGGAGACAGCTGCAGGGGCGAGGGCGCACGCAGACGCTTCAGCATCTTGGAGCCGACGCCCTTGGCCTGGAAGCGCACATGCAGACCTGCGCGCGGCGGGGGGTGAGCACGCCCCGCGCCCATCTCCTCACACATTCTTCATTCGCTTCCTCCTCCTCCTCCTCCTCCTCCTAATCCTCTGCTCCTCCTCATCCTCATCTCCCCCCTCCCCATCGCCTTCATCATCCAATCACCTCCCTCATCTTACCCTCTCCTCTATCACCCCGTTCACTTCACCATCTCCGTCCTCGACCCCTCAACCCACTCCATTCCGCCGATCTTGACGTGCAATTACCCTCTCTCCACAGCATCATCCTCCATCTACTCGAATTGGCAGTAGCCTTGCAATTGCCACGGATGCGGACATGCATGCCACTGCGCGTGGATCATGCGGTCGCTATTACGACTCCTCCCTCCTCCTCCTCCTCATCCTCCTCCTCCTCCTCACCCATCCGCTTCCCCCCCTCATCCTGCCCTTCCTCCTCCTCCCTCTCCTCATCCTCCCCCTCCTGATCATCCTCCTCAGCATCCGCCCCATCCTGATCGTCATCCTCGTCCTCACCCGCATCCATCTCCCTTCCTCGGCGGCATACGATCCCCCCCTTTCAGTCGCAGCCCGCGACCTTCGAGGAACTGGCCGAGGGAAGACGAATCCGCTCAGAAGGAGGAGCTTCCAAGTGCGAAGCGTTCCTCTACATCTTTCTGAGCAGATGTAGTCGTTTCCAGCCACCAGTTCCATTGAAGGTCGAGGGCGGCGGCGCAGCACGAGGGGGGCAGGAGGCAACGAGGCAGACCAACCGCGCTGCAGCGTATCCCCAGTCTGACACGAGCCCCGCTCGCGCATGCATCTATACAGCGTGCCTACGCAGCGGTGGTAGGTCAAGAGCTTTCGCAACTCCTCATCCTTCCTCCCTCCCTCCTCCCTCATCCCTCCTCCCCCCCTCCTCCTCCTCCTCCTTCTCCTCCTCATCCTCCTCCTCCTCCTCCTCCTCCTCCTCCTCCTCCTCTTCCTCCTCCTCCTCCTCCTCCTCCTACTCCTACTCCTTCCTCCACGCGCATATCATTCCCCAGCTCTGACGAGCCACCGCCGTCTCACGCTTTGCCAAGGGCGCGCAAAACGCTGGACAGACGAGCGCCGGGCCACGATTCCAGCACGCGGCCAGAGGAGCCGTTCGCACGGGCCCGGGCGAGCCTACGTTGAAACTTTTCGAAATCAGAAGCGATCTCGGAAGCATTGTCAGCATGCAATTGCACCAGGGCGTCCCCGAATGCAGGGGGATAGGCTTGAGTCCCCTTCAGGTCTCTGCCACCATCGACTGCTCTAGAACCGTCGGCCCTCACATCAGTTGTGAAGGTCTCGACCTCTGGGTCCAGAGTCTCGCGGTCCTGGGGCTCAAGGTCTCGCGATGGGGTGAGTCGCTCGGGGCCCTCTCTTGTCCTGCTTCCTGCCTCCTCTTGGTGGGTTCACCATCCAGGGCGCGGAGGCAGGGGGCAGGACGAGGGAGGGTCCCGAATACGACTCACCCGATCTACAAACCCATGGGGGCTGACAGAAGAAAGGGGATGGGAGGTTGACCCGTTGGCGGACCTCGAACACGAAATACTCAGGGAGTTTCTGCACGCATCGATGTCCAGACCAAAGCCACGTAGGTTTCTGAGTGGTGCTCCCGAAATACGCTCAGCCCCAAGGGAGGCCATGAAGAGCCTTAGGTTATGTTACTCCACCATAAACACGTGCGATTATGAAACCCTCAGGAATGGAAGCGGGACCAGCGAAGCTTCGGGACGACTCATATTAAATGAAACCATCCAGATCTTGTGTTTCTGCAGCATCCATTGAAACCGAGGATGAAATCTCATGCTGGACCCCCTGGGCTGCTCAAGGACAAAGAAGACCCCCTTGCTCATGAGGAGAAGTATTAACAGGATGCATCGCTCCACCATGCAGTTGGCCTGCCTGACGTAGCGCTGAGTCTCGTCTCCTTCTGGGGCGGCCCAACACTCGGGGTGGGGATTCACGGGGGCCTGAGACGATGTCAGGGAATGGAGGGGGTCGGATAACTAGGTTTGAGAGGAAGTCTAGGGGAAGGAGGGTGTCCTAGTGGTCGGTCGACTCGGCGTCCAGCAGTATTCCGATTCACCCATACCCAGCTGGAGCACACAGGGGCATTCGAGTTCAAGCCCTTCTCCTCAAGGGCAACAGCGAGCGCGATCAAATGAGCGAAACCCAGAGGCGACAGGATATCCATAAAACGATCGTCGATGTCAATATCATAACCGCAGGCCCTGCGCTGGGCCCCCACCCGTTGTCGGGAAGGAGAAGAACAAAGAGAGGGAGGAGGATGAGGAGGAGGAGCCGGAGGAATGGCAGGAGAGTGGAGGACGGGAGGGTGGAGACGAGCAGGGCGGGGGAGAGGAGGAGGAGGAGGAGGAGGAGGAGGAGGAGGAGGAGAAAGAGAACTGCGGGTGTGTGCGCGCAAAGCACAACTATCCGACAGCTGTGTTTCCAGCTCGGCGGGACGCGTCGGCGATGCTCTGCACGCCAGCGAACGTCTCCAACGTGCGAAGCCAAGGTTCCATGCCCACCTCCTCCCGGAGGGGCAAGACTCCCAGAGGGGCAACAGCAATATGAAAGTCCAGGTTGGGTGGCCTGCGCGGATTTCTCAAGTCGGCGCTGCGCTCTGGCGCGCGAGGCGCGCTGAAAGAGCTGCAGGGCCATCTCAAGAAATCCGCGGGGGTGGGGGGGGGCAAACCGTTCGTGATCCCCCTATCCTCAGCAACTGTCGCCACGACATGAATGAAATCCAGCGGGGCCCCGAGAATTTGCAAGGCCAGGCACAGAGTCCCGAGCGCGTTCGAGGTCTCAGTTGCCCTTGATTTTCTAGAAGAGCGCTTCGCCCTCCTGCCGACCAGCTTCGCCATGGCACGGCGCGGAGACGGCGGGGGGGAGGAGGACGAGGAGGAGGAGGAGGAGGAGGAGGAGGAGGAGGAGGAGGAGGAGAAGGGGGGAAGGAGGAGGAAGGAGGAGGAAGGAGGAAGAAGGAGGAGGAAGGAGAAGGAAGGAGAGTGGAGCACGAAGAGGATGAGGAGGAGCAGGAGGAAGAAGAAGAGAAAGAGGAGGAGGAGGAGGAGGGAGAGGAGAAGGAGGAGCAGCAGAAGCATGGGCAGGATCAGGAGCAGGAGCGGGAGGAGCAGGCAGGGTGGAGGAGGAGGAGGAGGAGAGGCAGGAGGGCCGCCCGTTGGGACCCCTCTGGCAGGCCACCTTGGGAGCCTTGCGTGGCTTCGATATTTGGTGCAACTCTCTCTCTCTCTCTCTCTTTCTCTCTGCGTCTCTGTCTTTGTTGTGGTTTGTTTTTTTGTTTCTCTCTCTCTCTCTCTCTCTCCGGTGCCCGGGTGAGGGGGCGCATGCATTCATTTCTGCAAGCCTACGAAATCCCATGGCGAGCCATCCCGTCGGCGCGCCGAGCATGCATGCTGCGCGGCTGCAGGCGGTCTTGCCTCTCGCAGCACGCGTCAGCATTCAGAGCCCCAGAGCGTTCGACGGCCTGCACGTTGGCGCCCGCCGCGCACCCCGCCCTCCGTTCCACAAACCGTGGAGGGGAGTGGGCCTAGGGGCAGGGTCGCGGCGGGCGCAAACACGTGGGCCATCGGATCAAACGCGATGCCAAACGTGTTGGCTCTCTCAGGAGGGCCAGTGCCTCTTCTGCTGCTGCTGCTGCTGCTCCTCTTCCTCCTGATGTCCTCCTCCTCCTCCTCTCCCTCCTCCTCCTCCTCCTCAACCTCTGTCCCCATCCTCCTCCTCCTCCTCCTCCTCCTCCTCCTCCTCCTCCTCCTCCTCCTCCTCCTCCTCCTCCTCCTCCTCCTCCTCCTCCCTCCTCCTCCTCCTCCTCCTCCCCCCTCCTCTCCCCTCCTCCTCCTCTCCCTCCTCCTCCTCCTCCTCCTCTTTCTCCCCTCCTCCTCCTCCTCCTTCCTCCTGCTCCTCCTACTCCTCCTCCTCCTCCTCCTCCTCCTCCTCCTCCTCCTCCTTCTCCTCCTCCTCCTCCTCCTCCTCCTCCTCCTCCTCCTCCTCCTCCTCCTCCCCCCTGTTGCACTGGGCCCTCACGCCGCGGCCTCCGCGGCTGCCTGCGCAGCGACCGCCTCGTCCCAGTGGACGGCTTGCTTTGCCTGCTCCCACGCCTTGTCGACGCTGCCGATCTTGGACCAACTCAGGTTGCGGTACGGCGGCGTCCTGCTCTCGTCGTCGTTGAGCACGCGCACGTACCGCAGCCAGAAGGACTTTCGGCGCCGCACAAGGGGGGCATGGAGGGGGGGGGGTGCCTTCTTCAAAAGGCCAGGGTCATTCGGAGGCATCTTAACCCTCTGAGGTTTGAACGCCTCGTTTTTTTTTAAGAAGGCCCCCCTCCCCCAGTCTACCCCCCTTGGCGCGACGCCGAGCCTTGTTGGCCAACTGCACCTCCACGCGCGCGTCGTTGCCGACCACCCCCGCGTAGATGGTGTAGTTCTTCTTGCCGCGCACCACGCTCTGCGGCAACGCCTGCCCCAGAGGAGGGGATGGGAGAGGGGGAGGAGGAGGAGGAGGAGGAGGAGGAGGAGGAGGTGGAGGTGGAGGTGGAGGTGGAGGTGGAGGAGGAGGAGGAGGAGGGGAGGAGGAGAGAGGAGGGGAAGAGGGAGGAGGGGGGGGAGGAGAGGAGGAGGAGGAGGAGGAGGGAGGAGGAGGAGGTGAGGAGGAGGAGGAGGAGGAGGAGGAGGGGGAAGAAGAGCAAGAGGAGGAAGTGGAGCAAGGGGAATACGACGAGCCTCCGTCGGCATGTCCGCCGGGATCGGCAGCTTGCCGTCGGGCTTGAGCGTCTCCTCGAGCGTCGCCGCAAGCGCCTCCTCCAGCGCGAGGGCGCCCTCGCCCACCTCGGCCTCCTCGGGGGCGAGTGCGTCCTGCTCGTCCTCGGCCTCCTCGGGCAGCACCTCCTCCTCCTCCTCCTCTTCCTCGGCCTCCTCGGGCGCGAGGGCGCCCTCCTCCTCGGCGTCGGAGTCGAGGAGGTCAACGACCTCAACCTCGCGGGTGGGGAGCTCCTCTTCCTGTATTGCTTGGCCCTCTCCTCCTCCTGCTCCCCTTCATTATCTCTCTTTCTCTCTCTCTTTCTCTCCTCCTCCTCCTCCTCCTCCTCCTCCTCTTCCTCTTCTTGTTCCTACTTCTCCTTCCTTTCCTTTTCCTCTTCTTCTCCGCCTCATCCTCCCTCTCCTCCTCCTCCTCCTCCTCCTCCTCCTCCTCCTCCTCCTCCTCTTCTTTCTCCTCCTCCTCCTGCGCTCCTCCTCCTCCTCCTCCTCCTCCTCCTCCTCCTCCTCCTCCTCCGTTCCCTGTAGGGCAGGGTTGGCATCTGTCCGCTCACCTGCGGCACTTTGCCGATGGCACCCTTGAAGCCGTCGCCCATGAACGCGTCCGGGGGGGTGTCGGTCTCGACAGCCTCGGGGTCAGATTCGTCGTCGTCTTCCGTCTCCTCCCCTCTACCGCCCCCCCCTGCTCCTCCTCCCTTGCTCGTCCTCCTTTTCGTCCCCATCCTCATCGTTGATCGCCCCTCTCCTCTCCTTCCCTCTCATCTCCTCTCCTCTCTTTCCTGCCCTCCTCTTCCTCGTCCTCCTCTTGATCCTCGAGCTGCTGCTGCTGCACCTCTTCCCACTCCTCCTCCTCATCTTCCTCGTCCTCCGCCTCCTCCGCTTCCCTCCACCCTCCCTCCCACCTTGTCGTCATCCTCCCCTTCCTCCTCTTCCTGTTCTTTCCTCTCCTTCTCCTTCTCCTCTTCTCCCTCCCCCAGTCTTCATTCCTCAAGCATCCTGGTACTCGTCGCGCTCCCGCCAGACGCCGAGCTCGCCCTGGTCGGCGTCGCCGTGCGAGACCTTGAGCTTCTTGGCGGCCTTCTTGGTCTTCCCAGGCCTCTTGAACGTGGCCTTCTTCGCGCTCTTTTCCTTGTTGGCCTTCTTCTTGGCCGCCGCCTTCTTCTTCTTCTTGCTCGACGAGGTCTCCGCCAGCCGTTGCAGCCGCACCTGCTTATTCTGAGCCATGCTGTCCACGGGCTTCGGAGGCGTGAGGATCAAGCCGCTCATGACCTCGGCCATGCCTGGCGGCGCTGCTGGCGGGGGGCTCTTCATGGCGTTCAGCCAAGCAGCAGCAGCCGGCTCAGGCGCTACGTGCGCCGACGAGCCGAGAAGACCTGCCGTGCCCACCACGGCGTCGCTCTCCTGCAACTCTGCCTCATCTCCAGCATCGGCCAGGTCCAGCTCCGCACCCGCCTCGGAGTCGGTGACGGCGGCGTCTGGCCCCAGGCTCTCGGACGAACCTTTCGGGCTCTTGACGAACATCTGCTTGATCTCCAGCAGGTTGTGATCCGTGCTGCTCTCGCTGTTCCGCCACAGGAGACGAGCGTGGCCCACCAGCTTGCTCAACGTGATGGCCTCCTTCACGGCCTGCTCCTCGGCGCTCCTGCTCGGCGCCGCCACATTGATGAGGCACCTCTTGCACTTCTCCACGTGCAAGTAGAGGAGCGCGTCCGCTACGAGGTACGCCGACGGAGCCTCTACGGAATCGCAATCATCTCATCTCTCCGTCCTCCTCTTCTTTCTCCTTCTCCTCCTCGTCCTCCCCCTCCTCCTCCTCCTCCTCCTCCTCCTCCTCCTCCTCTTCCTCCTCCTTCTCCTCCATCCTCCATCCTCCATCCTCCCTCCTCCGCTCCCCCGTCCTCCTCATCCTCCTCCCCATCAGTCTTCTCCTTAACCTCCTTCTCCTCATCCTCCTCTTCTCTGCCCTCGCCATCCTCCATGCTCTATACTTTCCGCCCTGCTATCCTTGATCCTCTCCACCTCCACACCCTCCTCCTCCTCCTCCTCCTCCTCCTCCTCCTCCTCCTCCCTCCCTCCTCTCCTTCTCCTTTCCTCCCCCTCCTCCTCTTCCTCTTCCTCTTCCTCCTTCTCATCCCTTGTCCTCCTCCTTTTCCCCCTCGCCCTGGCCTGATCCGGCAACGCTGCGACGATCCCCTTGAGCCAGGGCAGGTTGGCCACCAGGTCATCCTTCTTGGGGAACGGCGCGGCGCGCACCAGCACGGTGCCGCTGAAGGCCCCCTTCTCCAGCATGCCCTTGGCATCTGGAGGCAGGTGATCCTGGCGCGGCTCCTTCCTTCTCCGTCCTCCTCCTCTTCCTCCTCCTCTCCTCCTCCTCGTCTTCTTCTCCCTCCCCCCCTCTTCGTCCTCCTCCTCCTCTTGCTCCGCCTCGTGATCCTCCCTCCTCCTCATTCTCCTCCCTCCTCCTCCTCCTCCTCCTCCTCCTCCTCCTCCTCCTCCTCCTCCTCCTCCTCCTCCGCCTCCTCCTCCTCCTCCGCCTCCTCCTCCTCCTTTTTTTCTTTCTCCTCCGCCTTCCTCCTCCGCGCCCGTAGGAGGAGGAGGAGGAGGAGGAGGAGGAGGAGGAGGAGGAGGAGGAGGAGGAGGAGGGGGAGGAGTGAAGAGCCAGAGGAGGAGGGTTGGAGGAGGAGGCTCGAGGAGGAGGAGGAGGAGGAGGAGAAGGAGAAGAAAGAGGAGGAGAAGGAATTGAAGACAAAGGTCCCAGATGGACTCCCCGAGGCGCTGCACAGCGGGAAGGTCCCACTGCAAGCGCGTGGTCGGCGCCCGCCGCGTGGACCTCCACGGGCCTGCCAGGAGCCCGGCTGACGACGTGCGCAGCGCGAGCGGCTTCGCGAGCCGCGGCGAGGCAAGAAGCCAAAATGGCTATGAACGGGGATCGTTGGGCGAAGGATGGAGGGGAAGAGGATGGGGTGAATGGGGGTGGAGGGCGACCGAGGGAGAGGGAAGGGAGGGATGGAGAGAGGGCAGGGGGAGGGAGAGATACGGAAGGGAAGTGAAGGCAAGTGCAAAGAGGGGAAGGGAAGGGAAGGTGGAGGGAAAATAAATGAAAGTTCAGGGAAGCCATACGGGGGGAGGGGGGAGGAGGAGGAGGAGGAGGAGGAGGAGGAGGAGGAGGAGGAGGAGGAGGAGGAGGAGGAGGAGGAGGAGGAGGGGAAGAGGAGGGGGGAGGAGGATGGAGGAGGAGGAGGAGGAGGAGGAGGAGGAGGAGGAGGAGGAGGAGGAGGAGGAGGAGAGAGCAGGAGGAGGAGGAGGAGGAGGATGAGGAGGAGGAGGAGAGAGCAGGAGAGGAGGAGAGGAGGAGGAGGAGAGAGGAGGAGGAGGAGGAGGAGGGGGAGGAGGTGGAGAAGCGCTGACCACTCGAAAGCGGTAGCTTCGATAGTACGTAGTTTAGTACGTAGTAAGTCTTTTTATAGTATTAGTAATAGAGAGAGACACTCGCGAAGGCTGCGCGCGAGTTGCAATCCGGACGCACGCGCGGTGGAGGGCGCCGCGGGGCCGACCTCCGACGAGCGCGCCCTCGCGCCCTCGGGGGACCCCCCCGCCGCGCGCTCCGCGGCCCCCACGGCCTTGCAGCCAAAAAGCTGCACGAGGGCACTCGTCGTCGACGTCCTCCTCCTCCCTCCTCCTCCCTCCTCCTCCTCCTCCCTCCTCCTCCTCCTTCCTCTCTCCTCTTCCTTCCTCCTCCTCCCTCCTTCCTCCTCCCCTCCTCCTCCTCCCTCCTCTTCCTCTTCCTGTTTCCTCCTCCTCCTCCTCCACCTCCTCATCCTCCCCTTCCTCCTCATCCGCATCCTCCTCATCATCTGTATCATACTCTCCCATCCTCCTCATCTTCCTCCTCTTTTTTCTCCTCCACCTTGTCACCCTTCTCCTCCCCAGTCGGCGGGCCGCCAGAGCACTTATACGCCCATTTCGGCACACCCACGACGCGGTCCCGTGGCGGCAGGGCAAGATCGTGGCATTTGTGTCAGCATCAGCTGCGCCGCCGCAGCGACGAGGAAGGCCCCTCGAGAGCCTCCTCCTCCTCCTCCTCCTCCTCCTCCTCCTCCTCCTCCTCCTCCTCCTCCTCCTCCTCCTCTCCTCCTCCTCCTCCTCCTCCCTCCTCCTCCTCCTCCTCCTCCTCCTCCTCCTCCTCCCCCTCCTCCTCCTCCTCCTCCTCCTCCTCCCCTTCCTCGTCCGACCCCCCGGTCAAGTTTCAAGCCAGCGACCTGGGCCCGAACAGGTGTTCGAACGCGGCCTCCAGAGGCCAGACGCATCCTGGAAGCCCCTGGATCAAACCCCTGGAAGTGAACCCTGAATGCCCTTGAAACCGAATCCCTTGAAGCGAAATCCTGAAGGGGGGGCCTGGAATTCCCTGGAAAATCCCGAGAGGAAGGGCCCTTTCATCAACGCTTATCCCTGGACAGAATCCCTGGAGGCATCTCCCCTGAAGGCCCCTGGAGCCGAATCCCCGGAAACGAAATCCATGGAAGCCCTGGAGATCACTGGAGCAACTCCCGAAAGGAAGGGGGAGGAGGAGGAGGAATGGAGGCGAAAGAATTAAGTGGAGGGGGTGAGAAGGAAAGGGAGGAGTAAGGAGCAACTGGTGAAGCAGCAGCAGATAATGCTGATGGTGGTGGTGATGATGCTGATAAGGACCATGATTAATCCAAGAAACGACAGCAAACGGCAAGGACAACAACAGAAATACGAAACACGATGTTATCTCAGAAACCCAATGGTGACACCCAATGTAACAATTCATTCTCTGATCGGAAGAGGCCGTTACATGAATGTGAAATCTACAGATTCTGGACTGCTTGAAATCTACGCGCGCGGGCGCGCTCCCCGCAAGCCCATGCGCTTGTATGGTTCGGATGCAGCAGAACCGATGTTAATTCAGAAGCCCAATGGTGAAAACCCAATGTGCAAATTCGTTCTCTGATCTGAAAATTCAATTATATGAATGGAATCATGCATACGAAACAATGAAGCCTTCGCGGTTGTATGGGTTTCACTACAACTGGAACGATGGTAGCTCAGAAACCAAATGATGAAAACCCAATGTAAAACATCATTCTCAGAATTGAAGAAGCAATTATAGGAATGTGGAATATTCGAAACTAACTAAATAAGCTCTACGAGCGCGCGCGCCTGAAAGGCGATGCAATTGTATTGGCTGTTGTACAAAAGTGGTGGTCTTAACGCAGAAACCCAATGATGAACACCCAATGTCAAAGTTCATTTTCAGATTTGAAGGCGTCGTTATATGAATGTGAAATACACAATTCTATGTAACGCGTATTGTCTACACGCGCGCGCATCGGTGTTCTGTATTGTCCACAATAGAACAGTCGACGGGTCCCGTCGGCCTCCTTAAAGAGCCCCAGAAATTTTGAATTTAGTTTTTGGAATTTCATGTGGCCTTTTCTATTGTGGGCAATACAGAACTCAGCAACGCGCGCGCGCGCGTACGCGCGCACTGGTGCGCTACCATCGCTCCAATCGTAGCGCGCGCGTGCGCGCGTACGCGCGCGCGCGCGGTGAGGAGTTTTGTATTGCCAACAAATAGAACAGCCTACATGAAATTCCAAAAACTAAATTGAAAATTTCTGGGGCTCTTTAAGGAGGCCGACGGGACTCGTCGACTTTTCTATTGCAGACAATACAGAACGCCGATGCGCGCGCGCGTAGATCATACGCAGTCTGTAGGATTTGTATATTTCACATTCCTAATAACGGCATCTTCAAATCTGAGAATGAATTTTTACATTGGATTTTCACCATTGGTTTTCTGAGTTAACATCGCTTCTTTTGTGATTAACCAATAGAAGAGCATCGCCTTTCAGTCGCGCGCGCTCCCGTATGGGAGTCCATGTAGTCTGCGTTTCGAATACTGCCTCTTCAAATCTGAGAATGAATTTGTACATTGGGTTTTCATCATTTGGTTTCTGAGTTGACATCGCTCCAATTGTAGTGCAACCCGTACAAGCGCGAGGCCTTTTCAGGCGCGCGCGTATAGGCTAGATGTAGTAGTATATTTCACATTTATACAAACGCCTTTTCTAATCTGATAGTGAATTTGTACATTGGGTTCTCATCATTTGATTTCTGCGTTAACTTCGCTTCCATTGTATTGGAATCCATGCGAGTCGCGGGCTTTCAGGCGCGCGCGCGAGTTAGGGTTTCGCATATTCAAACATTCAGATACAGCCTTTTCAAATAGGAACATGTCTTTTACATATGGTTTTCGTCATTTGGTTTTGTACTTAAGATCGCTCCGCTTTCGATCCCAGAATGAATTAGGATGTCACAACTGGGTTTCGATTACCATGGATAATTGCATTGGCGCGCGCGTGGGCTGCTGCGGGTGCAGGTCGCACGTTCAGATGACCGCCTCGTCTGATTTGAGAATGACTTTTTGCATGGTTTTCACCATGGTGTTTGGATTAGGCTTTCAAAATTGTTGATATTTTAAAAAACGGCATCTGTGATCGATCAAATGCATTGCAACGCATTTCAAAGTTAATGAACATGCGCTTGAAGTTTCGGAAATGTGTAGAACAAGTTGAACATCATGTTGCGCGTGTGCGAATCATGTTGAACACCTCCGGACGCTTCCGGACGCTTCCGGACGCTTCCGGACGCTTCCGGACGCTTCCGGACGCTTCCGGACGCCTCCGGACGATCATGCATGGCTCGGACGATCCAGCCGGCACATTGGGTTGATGTTGCCGGCGTTGGATGCATCCGTGCACTTCAGATGCGCGGCAGGCGCGCATTTGGGCCCTGCCGGTACCTGCGTGAGCTACGCCAGATGGGCGACGTGAAAGAGAGGGGAGCTGAAGGTCCGAATTTCGCCTGGCAGGACCTGAAGACTGGGCGGCAGCGGGGGCTGCGGACGGGCCAGCGCGGAGACCGACGGACGGGCGAACAGGACGGCCGGGCTGACCACGTTCAAAGCGGCATGGGGCCACGCGAGGGCCCGCGCGAGGGGATCTGAGAGGAGGGCCCAGGAAGACTTGCAGAAAGATGAGGAAGGGGCAGGCAGATGGAGAGCCCGCTGGCTGGAGCGCTGGCGCAGGTGCTCGCGGCCGTGCTGAAGGACCCGCAGGAGAAGAGGCAAGAGGTGATCGAGGACGCGCAAGCAGGATCAGGAGCTGGCCATGGAAGCGAACGCAAGCTGGAGGAGCCAGCGCAGGAGGCCATGAAGGTGGCTGGAGGCCCCGCCGCGCTCAAGTTCCCCAGACAGGAAGGGGCGCGCGAGGAGGGCGACGACACGACAGGGATGGCGACCCGCAGGCAGGCATTGCACCCGCGGGCGCGGCACTCGCGGCCCGAAGAGAGGCGCGCCCCAGGGACTGGTGGACAGGACAGGCGCTGGAGCCAATCGGCGTGGAGCAGATCAGGGGCGCGCTCAAGAAACACCCGAGAGGCGCGGGGCCAGGCTGGGACAAGCTGCGCCCCGGGCTGCTGGGGCAGCTCCCCGACGGCTACACCGACAGTTTGGCGGACGTACTCAATGCGCGGGGGGCGGCAGCGTTCTTGGCGCAGCCAGGAGGGGGGCGCGACTGATCCACCTTCTGGCCTGCGCCATGGGGTCGCGGAGCAGGCGCAGGCAGCCGCTGGCCGCCGCTGGCCGCCAAGCGGGGGCAGGGGCTGCCGCGCCAGGAGCACTTATGGGCGGCCGCGGGCACGCCGTGCGACATGGCGGGGCCGATCTCCAACTTGCTGGCGCGCCGTGCGAGGAAGGCGGGGTTCGCGCGCGGGGCGGGGCCCGTGGGCAATGCCATGTTCAGCGACCACGTGCCCCACGAGATGCTCTGGC